GTCTAGAAGCTCTTCTAGAGCATCTGTTTTCGCAGACCCAAAGAGATCCCTCAAGACACTACCAACGGCTGACACCGATTCCGTTTTAGGGAGATACGAATTCCTCTGGGCACCATGTTGGATGAGCAATTGGCAACATTGGTACCAAGCGCTAGTGAGACTCCCTGAAGGCTTTGTGCCACCCTTGTGCGCACGCAATACGGTCTCATGTATCGAAAGTAAAAAGAGCAGCCAGACTGACTTGCCGTCGTTCAGATGAACTTGCTGATTTGGATCCGCTCCGCGATCGAGGAGGAGCCGTACCATGTCCACATTCACGCTCGGGTCATCGCGCTTGGAGTGGTATCGCATGCTGATAGGTGTGATGCGACGTGGGCGGAGCGCGTAGTCGAGTAGTGGCCGCCCGCCTTTTCGCATGTTGTTTGAATTGGCGTCTAACTTTGCACGAACGTATTTCACGAGACGAGCTTGCACAGCCAAGGCTAGGAAATTGTACTTGTCGCCCTCTCGATAGACGTCAAGCCCTCGTTCCCCAACAGGGTCGCGGGCGTGCGTCCAGTGGTTTCGAACACCGCGTGCGTGGTGAGTATTGACGCTATCCACGGCATCAAGTACCTCTACCAGAGACGATGTAGGACTTTGATCGGCTCTCTCGGTTTCATACGCGTAATAGAGTAGCTCGTCCGTTAGCCCGATGACTTTGTTGATCGAGAGTGGTGCCTTGAGGTCGATGTCCGGGAGTGATTTGAGCATTACAAGGCACATCTTGCATAAGGTAGACGTAGAGCTGAACTTGCCCTTCAGGTTGGCTTGTAGTTGTGAGTAGTAGTTATCCTCCAAGAAATCACGAACAGTTCGATGAAGGAAGTCGACCGGATGACTCAGGAAGAGGGGATGTCTGGAGCGATAATGCGATTAGTGACAGTACCAAACAAGCGTTGATCTGCTTGACAGAACCAGGAGCTCCACTTACTCTTCGTCATTGACAACAAGTAGGTCACTGCATCTGTTCTGGATGCGCCACTTTAACTCGGGATATTGGCTTTCCACATCCCGGTCGCGAAGGGGTCGTATGGGTGCGTCGATAGCATATGCAGCGTTCTTGCGTTCGCTTTCCAGCAGTGAGAAGGCGTACAATGGGAGAGGTTGGAGTTCATCCACAGTTATCAAGAAGATCTGCGACATCTGCTCAAGATACTCTGGTTTAACTCTCTTGAGAATGACCTCGAAGTACTCTTCCAGGTCTGCTGGGAAAAGATTGACGATGTTCCACAGCATGTCGACACCCTCATGCCGATTTACGGCATAGACAAGGTCACGAGTGATGAGAAAGACCCATAGCCATACACCCTGCGCGCGTTCTGCAATCACCTTCATTATCGATGCGCTGGTGGAATCGGCATCCTCCAAATTTTGGAAGTTGTCATTTTCTGCGAGCTCGCGCTGGACATGGCGTCCCATATCTTCTTTGGTAAAGCCCTTGATGTCGAATGTGCGGGAACGATTACTGAAGAACTTCTCGAATACCGAGCGAGGCCGCGTCGAAGCGCAGATCTTGATGTCTTTGGATGCGGAGAGGAACTTCAAAGCACTAACAACGTCCTCCTCAGCTCCGTTGTACTCGTCCAAACCATCGATGAAGAAGCAGAACTTGACCTCTAAATCCTCCTGCGTAGCGATGCGGGCGAAGGTAGCTTTCAGTTCCTCCAAACGCCATTCTTCATGCTCCAGACGACTTGGACACACTATCTCGACGAGTCTGGGCACAGATTTGAGTATTTCGTATAGAAGTGATTGGAAGAGCCCTTCTTGGCTCTTTTGCATTTCGTAACCTTGATTCCAGAAGTAGTAGCTTGCCGTGCAGAGCTTGGTCGTACCGGTCCACTCTTGAAGATATTCGAGGGTGCGAGGGTTTTCAGATACGAATTTCATCAGAGTGGATTTACCACTGCCTGCCTATATTGGCTTTGTCAGCATGAGTCTAGACACAACAAATTCTAGTAAAGAGGTTCTATTTACCCGACCTGTGATACAGAATAGTCCATCGTCTTCATCCGCGCTGGCCAACCAGGCCGTGAAGGAGGTCAAAGATGCATCGAAGATCCACGTGTTCGAAGTTTTGTCGGCATTTGGGATTTGACCCCATCGCCTGTGTAATACTGGGAAGTAGAGACTCCTTATGACAGCGTTCTGATTGATGCATGCCATGTGCTCCTTCCCAAGTGCGTCAAGCTTCGTCTTCAAACTGGCTAATTGCGCCATCTGCATGCCTTCTTCTTTGACACGATCCTGCCGTACCAGACTTAGGATATCGGTTCGCATCTGGTCTAGCTTGGCGTCATAGTTGATTGCCAACGTATCCTGAGTCTTCTTTAGGCCATCGAGTTTCGCTGACAACGCAGAATGATGATCGCTGAACGAAAAGGAAGTCAGCTCTCGAAGGTCCCGACGCTCTATGTCAACATGCCTTTTGATGATGAACTCGACATTCAATCGGATTCGGCTGTCTAACGCTTCAAGCCTTGTTCGTAGGGAAACGATGTCGCGCTGTTTCCAGAAACCTTGGAAGAAGACGCGGCTACTTTCGATGGTCTTCGAACGGCCTTCGCGCATGTGTAGGCGGTCAATAACCTTATGCAACTCTTCGGCTATCTCACGGCACTGTTGTACCATGTCCAAGATGCGTCTTTCGTGCACGGATAGCTTTTGACCAGAAGACTGTTGTTTCTTAACTTGTCCATGGTATCTTACGACGTCTTCTACAATGAGTTCAAGTTCTCGAGTTTCTGCAGAGGTGCCGTGAAGGGAATCGCGTACGTTCCGAGTCCCAGAGGCGAATCTGATGCCGAAGTCGATGAACGATAAGATGTTAGATACAAGCCCGAGAATAGCGAGCGCCTCGGCCATTATCGACTTAAGAGGGAGCTTCGAGCTCCTGCGGGTGCGAGCTGGTGAGGAGTGATGTTGTTAAGAAGCTGAGCGACAACATAGCCCCACCAAGCCTGCAGTCGCTGCCATCCTGATTGGATGATGCCAGGGTTGAGCGCTTAACGAGGCGGAGTACTTGGGGGCGGAAACAGCGCGTTGGGACCGCATAGATGGATACTTACTCGAAGCTATTCGATGAGAGTCGAGAACTATCTTTCCCAGTATTCGTAACAAAATAGTCGCCATATCGATCGCAGACATATCTATCAAGAAGGTGGTTGCAGTGCAAGTTGCATGCGCTTCGACCGTTGTCCGAGTAATCCTTCGAAGGATCGTCCAGCGGGGCTACAAGGCTATAGCTGAGACAGTATCACGAGCCCTTCTAGTGAAGCTGTCTGATTAGTATATTGCGAAGCTGCACGACACAGGGAAGAGAATTAAACGTCCACGAGCTGGAAACAACGGGTGCGTTAGCCTTTACATAGCAGACGCTTCGATCAAGCTGATCAGGATTAGATCAATGCCTCCCCAAAAATCTACTCACAACTCTGCATCTCAGCGATCGTTGCCACATCTACCCTCCCAGCATGTCGCAAATCAGTTGCCGATCAAGGATTCCCTCCGCTCCCCAGTATTTCGCCCTGGCAATGTTGAGAACAACGAACAAAAACCGCTCGTTGGTATAGATTTAAACGGTCGGACTCCAATGTGGCAGCACGACAACCGCTGCATTCGGCTACCAGCACAATTTATTCGACGGCTCCTAGGCGCTTCGTCGCTAGACAAATCTACGCACGACGTCGACCATTCGTCAAACGGTAGATTTTTTGGCGTCCCAGCAGTCCGTCCCGAGAACGTTGAGAACAACGAACAAAGACCTCTCGTCGGTCTGAACTTGAACAGTCGAACGCCGATGTGGCAGCACGATAATACCTACATTCGTCTGCCCGCACAGTTTATTCGATGGTTTCCAGGCGCCATATCCAACGGCCTAGGATTCTTGTTCGGTTCTCTAGTCCCTGTCTATGTTTTTATCGCGACTATTATCGAGAGGCTGATGTCTCCTGTCGTCGTATTCTTGGGCAACATGTTCGAGTTCCTGCATCCGGCTGTCAGGATCATGCTTTGGTTTTGCTTGTTCGCTACAATGATATTCAATGGGAGTCTGCTTGGAATCTCGCTGAGTCGTAGAGAGTCTTCGTTGGTGTTGCTCGCTATCGAAGTCGGGTCGATATTTCTGTGGGCTGTTCTTACTCGCACTGTAATAAACAGATCTGTATCTCGAGATAGATACGATGTAATCTGATCGAGTACGCTCTTCGCATTCCGTCGGTGGTTTCGAGAAAACGCTAGCCTCCTTCAAGGTTGCTAGTCCAACGATGTTGCGAAGACCGACTCCAGCACCACGCTTCCAACATCGTCGCATCTTCCCGAAAGTGTTCGTAGTGATCATGAACAAATAGAGTGCGCCTTTGACTCAGACTGCGCTCTGAGCCTGGTTTGGGCTGGGCATTGAGATGGTACTTTGGGTTACGGTATGATTGTGATGGCTTTGATGGTAGTGACCATGAACCGCCCATACCGTGACTGGGGGTGATCTTCTTCGACGTCTGGCACGGTCTTACGCCAAATTTCGAACACCGAATGATTACGCGTTTTGAAACGCGCTCCTGTGCAGTTCAAAATAGGTGTTAGCCCGCAACCGTCACCTGGGCAAGCGAGTGCAGGTGTTGCGTCCCTTCTCCACCATCATCGGGGCTGAGCAATCAATATTCAGCTGTACCGAGCGAGCGAATGAGAGGGGCGTGACGTGTGCAGGGGTCCGGCTCACCTTCCCGAAGTTTAGCGAGGTTAGGGCTGACAGGCTGTCCGTCCATCCTCAGACTGTCTCGCGTCGTCTTCTGTCGTCTCTCTTGAAACATGCGTCTTAAGCCGCTAACGATCTTCGCAAAACTCAGTGGAGCGACGTCTTCATGTCCGTCACTCTAGTTGGACATCGCTCTCGGTATGCAGCCAGAAGCCAACACACCGAATCAACACATGACTGCAGAAGCTGCGTACCAATCCGTAAGATGTATTGTACGGAGGAAGTCTAAATCAGGGTGCGGAACCTGCAGGTAAGTGGACTCCCTTGTCCAATGATGCGTACTCAACCGATTGGCTGTTTGTTTTGCAGCGATCTGGGGTACTCGGAGATCTATGCCTGTGAACACTTACCGACATCGACTAGAGCACGAAGAGTCAAGTGCGACGAAAACAAGCCTGTGTGCTCTCGTTGTCGCTCCACCGGCCGAACATGCGACGGCTACGGACTGTGGGGTGGCGGAGGGAACACCTACGTTGAACGATACGGCCGAGTGTCAACGTCGATTCAGAAGCCTCCAACCAAAGTCCTGGATGTCGAGGAACTCAGGTATCTACAGTTGTACAAGATCCGGATTGTTCACACGACTTCCGGTTGGTTTGCTTCCAAGTTCTGGAACTCGATTGTGCTACCAGCAGCATCGTCGGAACCGGCTGTTCTTCATGCTGCTGTTGCGTTGAGCGCTGCGCACAGATGCAGTTTCGATGCGGCACAAGCTCCGGATGCGCGGGAGAAGTTCATGCTTCAGCAATATGGCAAAGCAATCCAGTCGCTACAGCCGCTGTTGCGACGTGGAGACAAAGCCTCGGTTACTGTCATTCTGGTCACCTGTCAGTTATTCACCTTGCTTGAGTACCTCCGTGGGCAATATCAACTTGCCGAATCACACCTACGGAACGGTCTAAAGGTTCTGATCAACATGACCACGGAGAAGGATTGCTTACATGATGGTGTCCTTGTAATCAAGCCGTCTTCATATGAAAAGAGTATCGACAAAGGCATCGTGCGCAGCTTCGCGACCCTACATATGCAAAGTAATCTGTTCGGTTCCAGTCTAGAAGATCTCGATGTTTTTCTTCAGCCGATAGACAACACCATACCATACCCTACTTTTACGACTATCGAGGAAGCCAAGGACGCCCTTGATGTGCTGCTGCATGGCATTGTTCTCATAACGCAACGGTATCGAAAGATTGGGCCAGGTACTAAAGACGAAATCGCTGCGGTTACAGCAGGACAAGGAGAGATCGCGAACTATCTTGCGATGTGGTACGAAACGTACCTGGCTACACTTGCCTCGGTCGACAAACTAGCCGCAGCTGCCGGAAAGAAACCAAATGAACCATTGGCGTTCGGCGGAAAGACGCCACCAACAAAGCTTCCGAAAAGCCGCGAACCATCAGTCCTCAAATTGCTACTCATGTATCATGCCATGGCGGGCATAATGTGCGGCTGTCTGCAAGTACACTCTGAGCAGCACTACGAAGCGTATACACAAACGTTTCTCACGATACTTGTACATGCCATACACATCTTCGAAGAGTACTCTTTGGCAAAGTCTATACCCGACAACGTCAACCTCCACGATTCGATTGGTGAATACGGCTTTATTGCGCCTTTGTATTACACGGCTATCAAGTGTCGATACCATCGCATCCGCCTCCATGCTATTCGGCTCCTGCGGGTGATTCCGCTGAAGGAAGGAACGTGGGATTCCTTCACGGCAGCTAATATCGCGGAAACGGTTATGGAGCTTGAAGAGCAAGATACTTGCTATGGGGATAACGCTGGAGACGGCTTCTCTCTCTCAGAAATACCCAATTTGGAAGATTCGTATAGCTGGTGTTTGATGCCGGAGCATAACATGTTCCACAATGTGGAAGCAACGACAAGAGGAGACCTCACGAACGAAGTCGTCGTCACATGCAAAAGACGGCAACTCGACGGTAGTCCAGAGATCATTACCTTCCACGCCAATCCCAAACCCAGACGCAACACCGACAAAGAAAGACATTCTTATACCTGAAGGGGACCAATACAGCTCAAGAACATCGCATGCAAAATCAAAACCATCATTCCAGCGCACCCACTGCTTCCTCGCTAGATCTCCCACCCTTCCATCTCCCGCTGAGTCCAGGCCCACAACCTCTCACCCAATACTCTATCCTTGGACAACTCACTACCCATACCCAACACACCAACAGGTTCATAATACCGTCCACTCAGCACGCCGTCCGCAGTCGCCGCCCAAACCCCGTTCTTGATTCCTTCTTCCAGCGACCCACACCTCTTCGGCGCCACCTCCCGCGCCAGATACTTGATCTGCTCATCACCTCCTTCAGCGCCTTTGTTGAAGATCTCCGTCAAAACATCACCAGGGTGGATCGCCACACTAAGGATCTGCGGGTAGTGCAATGCATACTGGCGCGCGTAGACAACGTTGGCGAGTTTGGACTGCGTGTACTTGTTCACGCCTGACAAGTCTGGTTGTGAAGATTTCAACGTGTCGAACGCGATGCCACCGGCTGGTAGAGCGGCGGTGTGAGCGTGGCCCCGCGAGCTGACGGAAATGACGCGGGGTGTTGAGCCCGTGGACTCCGCAGTGGAAAGCAAGGTCGGTGTGAGTAGTTTAAGCAGGAGTGCGTGACCGACGTGGTTCGTCCCGAATTGCAGTTCGTGGCCTTGAGGTGTTGTGCCAGGGTGGCCGCCCATCTATCGTCGCAAAAAACAAAGGTCAGTTATCGCACACATCGACACATGTGCACAAAGTAAACCGAACAAAAAGAGCTAAGAAACGCCTCAGGGAGAAAGAGTTAGGACATACAATCCCCGCATTCAGCATCAAAACATCCAATCGCCCTCCACAACCCTCCACCACTTCCCTCGCCGCTCTTGCTACCGAGTCGAAACTCGCTAAATCGCATTCTACAAATCGAACGTCGACGGTCGGTGCTGCGGCTTTGATTTCAGCAACAGCAGCATGACCGCTTGCGACGTTGCGAGCCGCGATCCAGAATTGTGCTGGGTTCAAGGTGGCGAGGGAGAGGGCGGTGGCTTTTCCTATGCCGCTGTTTGCGCCGGTTATGAGGACGACTTTTGATGAGAGATATGGGGTAGGCGACATTATTACGCGGATTTGGAGGGGCAACAGAGGGGATTAAGGGAGGAAGCGTAGAAAAACAGGAGTTGGAGGATTGGGGCCGAAGAGTTGGAAGGTGGATGTGGCGCGTGGGTCATATGGTGTATTGCCGTCCATTTATCTATTGCTCCTATTCTTGAGTTTCCGATTTATCCCTTGTGGTTCCAAAAGAGTTCTTGTGCATTCCCATAATGCGTATGATTCGCTAGTGTTTTCCGTTGTTAAGGCGTCCCGGGTGTAAGACTGCGGAGGCGCGAAGGCACCGAGACTCCGATGTAGCGGTACGACATCCTCCGGGGAGCGACAATGAGCTTTACTTGACGCTTAATGATGACTGAGTTGTAGGTAGTCTTGAATAAAATGGCTTTTGGCAGTTCTAACCACCATCTACCGAGATAGGACAGCTGAAGATCATGCCCTCCCACAGACATGGACCTTTCCCCTCCTGACCATCAATCCACCCTACACAACCTCCCATCCTGCATAACAATCCCCTCCCTCTTCCCCCCATCCAAATCCCTAACCTCCCACTCATCACTCCCCACGCCTCCAATCGCCCAAAACACACCTTGAGGATCATATTCCCTCTTCACCCTAGCCAGCCTCTCATAATTACTCCCAAAAAACGCATCCTTCCACTCCCAATCCTGCGCATCCCCTTCATTGATATAACTTCCACTCCCGGGCGTAACATCCCGCCAACCCTGCATATACGCCTGCAGTCTCTGATGTCTTTCTGTCAGCGCATCGTGCGACAGGATGGGTGCTTTGCCGTCCCAGTGCGCGTTGGGCTCATAGGCCTGTGCGTGGAGGACTGTGGTGCGGAACGCCGGGTTTACGCTGTTGTTTGGGTTTCCGGAGACGGAGAGTGTGGGCGCGTAGTTCATGCCGTGGAAGGTTAGGGAGCCGTTTTCGACGACGTGGCGGATGGCGAGGTGGGAGGTTTCTAGTGTGGAGGGGGTGGAGAAGGTGGTGCGGGGGAAGAAGCGGGATGCTATTAGGGTGTGGCCTGTTGTTTCGCCTGTTACTCTTTTGGAAAGAGGCGATGGTTCGTTTGTGGAGTCGTCTTCGTATGAGAAGGCTGGCGTGAGAGAGCGTTTGAGTGTCGGCATAGGTTGCTGGATACCGAGATCATTGAGCTTCTGAAGCAATGGGCGGACAAATCGCCGATATTCGGTGGTAGTTTTGTTGGGAACCGAGATACTGACAGTAAAGGTAAGACCTGTGCTACTACTGCTTGGGTAGATGAAGCTGTAACCTAAGCCGCCTGCGTCACAGATGGCGATCGAGAACTCCCAGTACGCGCGCATGCCGGCCCAGAAGGTTTCTGCAGAGATTGGAGGCGCACTTGATCCGCGGTCTGGTGTCGTTGAGAAATGAACACTGCCTGACGTAATCGAAGTGGCTGGGAATGCTTTGACGACAACGGATGTGATGATGCCGAATGTGCCTGATCTTGGGTCAGTGACAGTCGGATTCCTTGTTCGCTGGGAATAATTACCTCCACCTCCTCCTCTGAAAGCCCAGAACAGGTCTGCATTCTCTTCTTCATGTGCTTCGACCACCCTCCCATCAGCTGTAACAGCAGTGATGGCGAGCACTTGGTCTGCCGCCAGACCATAGTAGCTGGTATAGGCGCTGTGTCCACCACCTTGAAGAAAGCCGCCTGCGATACCTACAGTTGAACCGCCTGCAACAATCATGAGCATATTCTTCTGCCGCATTAGTGTAGACCCCTCAGAAGCTTGGGTACCGGCGGAATAAGCAACAGCTTTTCCTGTATACGAACCAGTAGGTGAGGTGTAGTTCGGATCATATGTCATGCCTTTGAGGTTGTGTGTCCACACACTGAGGGAGTAACCACCGATAGATTTCCCGTTGAAGTCATGACCCGAGTTTTTGATCACAAGGCGGATGTTCTGGTTTCTAGCAAAGTTGACTGCGAGTTGAATGTGCCTCAACGTAGTGGCTCTGACGACGTACTCTGGCCAACCTCCTTGTGAGCAGTTTGAGTTTGGCTGTGAGGTTGGTGTGCATGCGTTCCCGGATGCCCACTGGGACATGATGCTAGTCGGATCGTCGGTACTGTCGTAGTTAGAATCACACAAAGAGCGTCGTTTCGTTACCAGTGAGCTCACTGTAGGTTCATGCCCGCCCAGTTACTCTTGTACTGTTCGCATCTCGCTGCATTGTAGCCGTCACCAGTATAGCAGACGCTGGCGAGCGGTCTAGGCCTTAGTAGCACACCACCGAGCGTATCGTTAAAAGAGGTCCAGACATCCTCACCCGGCCACTCAGCGTCACCCGGAACGATCTTGCAGTTAGCAGACGCCGCAGCTTGTGATGCACTACCAAAGCGCACTGCGTCATCGCGAGCTACATCCTCGTCGGTGAGCTGATCACGCTCCCAATCAAAGTTGAAAGCAGTTGCTGCCGCCGAAAAGAGGAAGAAAAAGAGAGTAGTATAGAGCATCTTCGTGGAGTTGTGGGTGCCACTGTATTGAGGGAAGGACGTAGAGTTGTTGCAGGCAAGCGCGAACGGACTCAATATAGGAAACCACCACCATCACGACGATATACAGATACCCTTATCGCTCTCACTCACCGCAAAGCCAGCCTGTTTGCTCCCCACACACCCCTTCAATGCCTCGACTGTGGGGCTATACGAGCATGTGGTCTTCGCAGGTGTGGGATGACTGAGCTGTGGTGTTCACCTATTGTCCTGCATATACTTGCCGGCTATATAGCTTACCACCGTCCCGGTTCGCAGAGAGAGTTGCAGGCGCGAATCCCGGTCTAGATTTACCATTAGCCCGGGCGTGCAGGGTGATCAACTACGCAACAAAAGAGGCAGAACGACTCAAAGAAGGGAGATATCTTTTCATACAAGGGTTATCATGCAATACGACAGTTGGACAAATGGTCATGGGGGATAGAAAACGCGCCATCCGCTGTACATAAGATCGTCTGTCCCTGAGATCCAATCTCATCTAGCCCAATAGTAAAGTTACACAGTCGTCCCAAATGCACCGAAAATAGAATCAGATTATAGCATAAGCTCGAGAGGGCTCTCAATGGCCTTCTTGAGCTCGCGCATGAACTCGCCACCGACGGCACCGTCGACAACCTTGTGGTCGAAGCTGCCGGTGATGACAATCTGGTCGTCCCACTCAACGCTCGCTGTGCCATCCTCAGCCTGACCAGGTACTGCGACCTTCCTTGTTGTGCCGATTGCGACGATGCAAGCTTGTGGGGGGTTGATGACGGCGGTGAATCGCTCAACAGCGGGGTTCATTCCCATGTTGGAGATGGTGATGGTTCCGCCCTGGTATTCCTCGGGCTTAAGCTTGCCGTCGCGTGCGCGCTTGCCAAGGTCCTTGATCTGGGATGAGATGGATTGGAGGCCGAGTCCGTTGACGTTCTTGACAATGGGGGTCATGAGACCGACGGGGGTAGAGACGGCGACGGAGACGTCGACAGTGTTGTGCTGGCGGATAATGACCTTACCGCCATCCTCGCGCCAGGATGAGTTGGCAGCGGGGACCTTGCGGGCGGCAACAGCGAGAGCCTTGACAAGCAAGTCGTTGACCGAGAGCTTGTACTCGCCGTTAGCTGAGGCGTTAAGAGCTTCGCGGAGCTTGAGGAGCTTAGAGACGGAGATGTTGGAGGCGACGAAGTAGTGGGGGTTCTGCTGCATGCTCTCGCGGAGACGGGTAGCAATGACCTTGCGCATGCTGGTAGCCTCGACGTCCTCGTACGCGGCAGCGGAGGCGCCAGCAGCGGGAGCAGCACCGGCAGCAGGCTTGTACTTCTCAATGTCCTCCTTGGTGACCTGGCCGCCCTTGCCAGTGCCCTTGATGGAACCGATCGGGACGCCCTTCTCGAGCGCGAGCTTCTTCGCGGCGGGGGAGACGGCGGGCTGGCGCTGGAGAGCAGTCTCTAGGCGGTCACCGGTGGACTCAGACTCGATGGAGGCGGGCGCAGACTCCTCCTTGGCGGGGGGAGCGGTCTTGGAGCCAGTGTTCGGGGGCTCGCTGGCTTCGGCGGCGTTGCCCTCCTTGGAGGGAGTGTCGGCCTTCTTGTCACCACCGGCGTCCTCGATGGAGAAGCTCTCGAATGCGGAGACGTCCTCGCCCTCCTCAACCATAACAGCGATGGGCTGCGGAAGTCAGCATGGTATCCTCGAAAGCTTGCGTACCTCGACTTACGCTTCCAACAGCGACGTCCTTCTCGCCAGCGTCGCGGAGGATCTTGGCGATGGTGCCCTCCTCCTGGAACTCAAAGTCCATCTGTGCCTTGTCCGTCTCGATCTCGACGAGGACGTCACCGGGCGCTATTGAGTCGCCGACCTTCTTCTGCCATGCGCCAATGTTTCCGGCAGTCATGGTTGGGGAGAGGGCGGGCATGCTAATAACGCTGTGCGAGGGGTAGGCTGCGGGCTGCGTTAGCAATGCGATGGCCAGCGGAGTATCTCGTCGCGAGGGACGCGGTGGAGTGCTCACACTTGGAGGCATAGTAGCGTGCGAGCGCGGACAGGGCTGGTGTGCGTCTGTATACGGCGTGTCAGCTGTGCTCGTTGGAGGATTGTGGGCAATCAATGCCAGGCAGGAGCGAAGCTAACGTACGCGGAGCATCTCGAGGTGGGCAGGGCGCCGCGCAGGGCAATTGACCCCCGCGAGCTCAATTGGCTCCCAGCCCGGGACAGCAGAGTTGTGGTTGCGGGCATTGTGTTGGGATGCCGGGCGCTGAGATTTTACTCCAAGCGACGTGAAATGGGGGAAGGCGAGCTTGTCGGGCGAGGGCGACAGGCAGACAGAGGTGAGCGAGCTGGAGGCTCAGGCGCTTAGCGGTCAGGGCTGGAGGAGATGGAAGACTGTTCAACGAAAAGTTTAGTGCAGCTGGTTGGAGACCCGGCGACTAGCGTTCTCTCCCGATGAGGGTCTATGCTGGATGCGACATTTCCCGGCAGGACGCAAAGTGTGGCG